GTGTGTGTGTGTGTGTGTGTGTGTGTGTGTGTGTGTGTGTGTGCTGAAACAGCTGCACTGTAAGTCCATCCCTTGCATGTCAGTTATTCAGCATTTTTGATTCTTGTCTTGTTTCTTCCACTTTCTGTCTTTTGAACTCCCGTCTGCTCCGGCTCCTGCCCTTGATTTCCTCCTTTTGCTGGGTCAGACCCTCTCAGCAGGAAGCCTGGTTAAATCCTTCATCAGCCTGTCGGCAGTTTTCAGGTCTCAGTCAGCACAAAAATCTCCCACAATTAGGCATGTTTTTTTTTCAGTGTATGAATCTTAGGCAGACTGTGGAGAAGAAGCAGTCATTAATGCATGAAGATAAAATCTATTATTAAAGTATTTTCTTTTAGAGCACAAAGCTTTGAAAATAAAGTTGCATGTTTCTTAGACGTGCAGGTTACTTTGGTTCATCTCCCCACCAGCAGGTGCTCATGACGCCAACAACCTGAGGACTAAAACTCAACAAGTTCTGCACTTTAAACCAAAACTATTACTGTTAGACTTCAGCTTCCTCTTCTTGGCATATTCTGGAATTACTCTTCAAATTACAGACAAAACAGCATAATACTTAGATTGTCTTTTTAAAATAAAGTCACTGTTTCTTGAAGGAATGCATTGCACCCATCCACCTCGAATGCCTAAGCTTGAAACAAAAATTTATTACGATGTGTTAGCGCTTGGAAAATATGCTGGGGGATGTCAGCTGTCGCTGCAGGAAGGCGCCCAACGCTGACACAAAGAGACTGTGAAACAAAAGGCACCACTTTTATTCTGTGGTGAAATGCTGACAGGTGATTGGTTGAAGGATGATGGCACTTAAACATCAACCGAAGCAAAGAATTTGCTTCATGTACACATTCCATTATGCATTTAAAATAAAGAACCATTTGAAACAATAATTCCCATCACCAAATAATGATCTTATATCTTGTGTTATTGATAAAGGACATTTCGATGTTGGTCCAGCTTGGGAGGTGACTTTATCAGTGGTCATGAGATTTTGTGAGACAATCTGTTAGCACTTGAAATATGTGTTCCTTCCTCTACTATCACACCGAATTTGAGGTCAACATCTGTAAAAACAAATCAGGGTAGAAATGCTTTTTGTGTTTGGGAATGTCACTTAAGTTAAATCATAGATGTTGATCACTTCCTGAAAGTTTTATTCAAATCCATCTGTGGGTCATGAGATATTTTGCTAACAGATATGACTATAATAATTAGTGGACAAGTTTCAGTAATAGAGCTTGAGCAACCTATTAGTGCTCAGAGTTTGTGTTAGCGATGACAGCTACTGCCACACCTTATTTTAGCTCATTGTCTGTAAAATTAGTTGTGTTACATTTGTTTTTGTGTTTGCTAAAATTGCCTAGCTGTGATTGTGATGGTTATATTTAACCGGGTCGACTCTATAAGTTAATCAGTCGCGATTACGGTGGTTACTTTCTGAGAGTTTTATCAAAAGCGATCCTTTGTTTCATGAGCCATGTTGCGAACACTACAACCACACACACACAGATACAGGTAAAACCATTATCACCGTCACCTTCAGCTGCGGGTGATGATGAAGAACTGACAAGCAGACAGGTGGGAAAAAAAACCAGTTGTTTTTATGTTTCCATCAGTTCAACCATGACTGGAGCAGAAAGGAGATGAGACTAAATGAATTTACCTGCAGAAAGCTGAAGCAGAAGATTGGACATGAATGGACTCGCTTGTCACACGTTCGCTCTCAGATTTCTGCGGACCGTTCCAAAGCCCGGCAGGTGACTGGGTCAGATATGTGAGACTCATCGCTCACCTGAGCACACCGAACTGTTGTCATGCCAACGTGGGATACGGACACGCGGGTGTGCGTGCAGACTGTAACCTGCCTCGAGGCCATACTGGCACAGCACCAAGGAGGTCTTGATGTAACGCTGTTTCCCAACAACACACCATCATTAATAATGCCCACTGCAGATGGAGGAGCAAGTGTTGGACAAGCTCTGCCGCCTCAGAACCTTAGTGAGACGAGCCCATGCATCCTGCTGAGCTGAGCTGTGTGCAGGATGTTTTTGACACCCGCGTGAGTCAGTTGTCATTTTTGTTTGTTTTAAGAACAATTCTTGACACTTTAAACACTGCAAAGTCATGAAGACTGAAAAAAAGAATATATCATAAAATAAAAAAAATTAAAACCCATATGGTGGTGTGTTTAAGTTAAAAGTTTGTATTCAAACTTTGTGAGTGAATACTACCACATTTGTTTCCTTTAGAAACAGACTGAAAATAACAATCTCAATTCTCTCTCTCTAAAAATCTCTTTCTCTCTCTCTCTCTCTCTCTCTCTCTCTCTCTCTCTCTCTCTCTCTCTCTCTCTCTCTCTCTCATTTATTTATTTTTTGCTGTGGGAGATTTTTTTGTTCATTTCATTTAAAAAAACAAACAAAACAAAATGCATTACATACAACAAAACGATGCAAATAAAAAAATGAAAGGCAGCAGAAAAAGAGTCTCATATCTGCTCCTATTTACAACAAAAAAATTGTATTAATTTCAAACAATAATAAACCAAATAAAACAAAAATAAAAATTCAACTCCTCAAACAACTCATGCAAATACAAATTAAACAATTTCATATTTATTTTGCTTTGATCAATTATTAAAGGAAATAATAAATATAATAATTTCAGATAACTCCATAGTCTTTTACCTTTTACTGAAGTGCATCTGTCCTTCAAATTTGTTCAAATGTTTGGTTTAATAAACATTTGTAGTCCCTTCAAATTATAACATCTTTGCCTTTTAACAAAATTAGATTGGATGTTTGAAGGTAACACATTTTTATGAGCTTTATACAAAGCTTGCAAAATATGTAGATATAAAAATATTTAGACTGTTGGATGAGTTTTTACTGCTGTATACTTTTGCACATTGATCTGTTTAATCTGTCTTCGGCTGACTTGGCTCAGGATCAGCCAAACGTCGACTCAGTGCAAGATTTATGCAAACACACATGGGTGTTGGTCACTACTTTCTATTACAAAATCAACATTTTTTTAACCTTTAAAGTTACATCAGCTGGCGCAACAAGCAGCAGCAGACTTCAAAAGTAAACCTGAAATTGTTTAACCTCAGAGCAGTCCAGCACAGCGTGCATGTCACACGAACAGAGCCCGAGCGATGGAGGGGTGACTCTCTGAGGGCACGTTAAACGAAGGTCTGCTGCAGCGCAGACCAGGATAATTTCACACCATTCCACCTTCTTTCTTAACGATTACAGGGGATAGCAGGCAATCTGAGAGATAGGGGGAGAGTGCTGAGTGGGAAAGCTTTGCAGGTAAAGCGTTTCAACCCACTCTTTGTGTTTGCCACCTGAAAACAAACCACCAAACAATACAATATTTACAACCAGATTCAACATGTTGATTATTGAAGAGGTACTTTTATTTGATGTCAGCTACCAGGATTATCACTTTTAAATTGATGTTGGTGCCCTGTATTAGTCGTTGAAAGCGCAAGTTAAAAAACACACGTGCAAACCAAATGATCATTTTTATTCAACTGCTTTTTAACTTTAGAATAAATATGAATCCAGAGAGCAATACAATTAAAGCTGCCAACGCATTAGCACTCCCATTACTATGCTGCTCAGGATGTTTGTGTGTTTTCACCCCCATCTTTCAAAATGTGTGGCTCGACTGGGAATAATGTGCTACGAATTTTAGTGGCAGAACACAGTACAAAGTCAGAGAAAAAAAAAACAGCTAAAATTTCTCCAAAATCCAAAAATAGGATTTTAATAAAACGAGTGATGAGAACTCGGCTGTCCTTGGAGCTTTGTAGCTGGTGCACAATTCACAGTCAAACAGGTCACAGGAAGTTGGGCTTTACATTAGGGATGGGTGTTTCAATCCAAGTATTGATAGTTTCGATAGGATTGACACTGATGTGATGACATTCATACTTTTATCTCCCTTTTATTCTGAAAGAAAAACTTGCCTTTCACCACAAATAATAAATGCCTGAATTTTCCCTTCTCACATGCAGAAAGATTGATTCAGGAGATACCACTTGTATTTATTGTGAGTTGTATTCCTCCCCATTTTCTTCTGATACCTCCTCTTCCAAATTGTAATGTTTCAGCTGAAGGAGTACCCAAACACAAGCCTGAATCAACGAGACAAGGACACAGAGTAAAAATTTAAGTGTTTTTATTTACAGTGAAGACGGGTTCGAAGCAGGACCTGAAAAGTGAAAGTAAAATTATTAATAAAGAGTTCTTTCTTACAGGTTCCATGGAGGAGGCAGACACAGAGGAGGCACAAAGGTTCCAGGAGGTAAGTTCTTCAGGTTTTCAGGATGATTTTTGGTTCTGTGTTTTGTTTCCAGATCGTTGGAGAGTGACAGGGCGGTTAGTCCACAGCAAGGTTCCAGGGAGATCTCATCAAAAGGGTTTCCACAGTCACAGGTAAGCAATTAAAAAATGGTCACCAAGAGCTTTTCCTTGAAGGATACACAAAGAGCAAAATGGTTAATAAAAAATAATCTTGAAGACTGATTACTGGCTTTCATAATCAGTACCAAGGTGACTGAATAATCCAGCGATAAGTGGAACTTCTCGAGCTCAAGCATCAGCAGGATCCAGCACAGGTGAGTAATTGGCAGCTCCTCCTCCTGCCACTCAGGGTCTGGAAGGTGAGTCAAAAAAACCCCACACACACAAAAACCAACACAAACTCCACACAAATCAGAGTTGCTGGTCATTTGAAAAATTCCTCAGTGAAACACACACTCATGGCTGCAGCAGAGGATCCATGGTACCTGTCATCTGCAGCAACTTTATAGGCTCTGAGCGGCCTCAAAGACTATGTTGTTACATTTTGATCATGAGAGCCTGTACTTTCCTACGCTGGTCTCCCGTTTTGTTTGTTTTTTTTTTTCCTCTATAGGACCCTGGGGCCGGGGACAGTTGCAACATTGTTTGGGGGCGGTATATTATTAATACAATATATTTCTCTGTAAATCCATCCATCCATCCATTTTCTACCACCTATCCGGGGTCGGGTCGCGGGGGCAGCAGCTTCAGAAGGGAGGCCCAGACCTCCCTCTCCCCAGCCACTTCTTCCAGCTCCTCCGGGGGAACTCCAAGGCGTTCCCAGGCCAGCCGAGAGACATAGTCCCTCCAGCGTGTCCTGGGTCTTCCTCGGGGCCTCCTCCCGGTGGGACGTGCCCGGAACACCTCACCAGGGAGGCGTCCAGAAGGCATCCTTACCAGATGCCCGAGCCACCTCAACTGGCTCCTCTCAATGTGGAGGAGCAGCGGTTCCACTCTGAGTCCCTCCCGGATGACCAAGCTTCTCACCCTATCTCTAAGGGAGAGCCCAGACACCCTGCGGAGGAAACCCATTTCGGCCGCTTGTATCCGGGACCTCGTTCTTTCGGTCATGACCCAAAGCTCATGACCATAGATGAGGGTAGGAACGTAGATCGACCGGTAAATCGAGAGCTTCGCTTTCTGACTCAGCTCTCTCTTCACCACGATGGACCGGTACAGCACCCGCTTTACAGCAGATGCTGCACCAATCCGCCTGGATTGGTTTATTTCTCTGTAAATAAGTTTTATTATTTTTATATTTTTATTATTGCTTAATTTATAAAAAATGTAAGTTATAATGATATTACAGTGTTGTTTATTTATTTTTTGACCAAATGAAGATTGGGGGTGGGGTGCTCCGCCATGAGGAAGTTTGGCTTAAAGACACGTCCCAGGGGCGTTTCTGGCCCCCAAAGGTGTTTCTGGTCCCCACCTGTTGTTTTGCTCCTCAGCATGGCTGCCTAAAAATGCTGCAGGATTTCTCTCAAACATGCATGAATGAGTCAAAGTAAGGCTTTGGGCATGTTTTTTATGAGAGCATAACATGATATAAAACTCAAAAAAGTTGATTTTACATATTGCCCCTTTAAAACCATTGTTGAAAACAACAACCGCAGAAAATACATCTTAAACACTTAAAAGTTTTAAACTATAAAATTGTCATGAAAATCCAATACCCTTTTAAATGTAAACTTAATTTGAACATCTTAATATCATCTGTATGTGCTGTTTTTATATGGATTTTTCGTATGGGTACAGTTGCAACAGTCCCCCTGTCAGCCATGATAAAACCTCATGTTAGCTAAATAAGCTGATCTTGATCCATGCTACACATATTAGTTAAAAGTCAACATATCACTTGTTTAAACCATGTAAGTTTGAGCTGGATCACAAAAACAATGACAACAGTATAACAAAAATAAAACTGGGCAAAAAAAACTACTTTGGTAACTCAAAAACAGTTGTTTTTTTTAATAAATCCTGGAGCAGTTTTTGAATCTGCTCACTTTTTCTTTGCAAGGTGGGGCATCTGAGCATGTACAGTGTGAGTGTCATCACTCTAGCTTGTTTCTGTTGGGAGAAAAATGACGTGTTGCAACCGTCCCTTGTTGATACTGTCCCCGTCTCCCCTATGTTTCACACAAATTCTACAATTCTTGTCTTTCTTGAACACAAACACCTGAATGCATTTCACCACAGAGGGTCCTGGGGGGGTGAACCCTCTAATTGGAGCCTCACGGGGCCCTCTAATGAAGACCTTGTCCTTTCACTTAGCGACGCCTCATTGATCACTCACCAAGCAGTCCAGGGCTTTTAATACTTCATCATGTTTATTTTCCTCCCCTCCCCTCCCCACCTGTGCTACCTGTCATCTTTTTCTCTGACCAACACACTGAATGCAACGAGTCCAGCTTTGAAGAGCCTGTTTGAGTTCGAGAGGCACAGGAAGAGCAGAATTGAATTAACTCTGTTAAAGCCTCCTCCTCCTCTCAGACATGCCTCGCTTCTTTGCCTTCATGTGCCAGCAGGGGTTGGGGTGGGTGGATGGTGGTGCGAGGGGCAAAAGGAAAGCAAAAGGTTTGTGATTACCTTTGGATTGGGCGGCTCGGAGTGTGAAATTGTTGCCATGGTCCAATTGTGCACCTGTGTAGATGTAAGCCACTAAGTAACTCCTTGAAATTATGCCAAATTGGAGTCTTTCAGAGAAGGCAGACATTTCAGGGGAGAAATTAGTTACTGGTGATTATAAATTGTCTGGTACTGTTCCCCCCCTGAGAGCTCTTTTAATTTCCTTTTGATAAAACCCTTTATGGCTGTGCTGCATTTACTACTGTAAAAGGTTCAAATTGCAGTTATCCACGGACAGCTGCTGTAAAACCAGAGGGATTTTGTTTCTCTAATCCAGGAGAAATTCTGGTAAACGTATTTTCCTCAACGTCAGCAGCACGGACCTACTCAGAAGCCTCAGACTTCACGTAAAGGGACATTTTTGCATCTGTTTCCCTCTCTGATGCTGTCAGAAGTCGGAGGCAAAGGTTGTGTTTGCTGTCAGTAAAGCTCCCAGGCTGTGGGGGCAGATATTTCAAAGTTAGCACCTGTTCAGGGGAAAGCGCATCCCCCACACCTGCATTTCTATTGCAACTCAAACAGGATTAAAAAATAATAATCCCTGCAAATCAAAACGAATGGCTTTACTTTTGGTACAGAAACTGTTTTTTTATTTTATTTACACTTTATCTGAGCAACATGGTAAAGATAAGAAATGAAGAAGCAGTCGTAACATTAAAAACATGAAAAGATAAGCTAAAATCTGAAGAATTGTTCTGAACACCATTCATTTAAAAATCATAAAACTGCACCCTAACAGTTTTATTGTTTAAGACCGGTAAGTAGTCTGCACTTAAAAAGCTTATATTTGTACAATTCCAGTTTTGATAAATGATATCAATTTAATTAAATTTTTGCAGCTGAACATTCTCTAAATGCACTTATAACGATCGTCCAAAAGAAATTTATCCAGTTTGAAACATTTGAACAAGAAAATATGCTGAATAGTTGTATTAAAATGCTCAAGTTCTTATATGATCTGTGAATTTTCAGCAGAAGTGAGGACCTCGTTTATAACCTGAACAAATCGCAGATGCTCAGGTGTGTTTTGGACACAGAGAAGGCTGGGTACAGAGGGACAGAAAGGCCCTGCTTGTAGGAATGCAGTAAAGTAAGACTGCCCCCTGGTGCCACGTTAAAGAACGATAATATGCCCTCTTCAAAGTCAAGGAGCACTCCCACCCTCTGCAGCCCGTCTGCCTTCACTGGAATCGATTCTTTGTTGTGCAGAGCTTCCAGCTTCTTCTTGTCGTAGGCCAGGCACCAGGAGTAGCTGTTGAAGCCCAGGCGAGAGCTGTCCTTCTGGCCTTTCCTTTCCATCTGACTCTCGCAGAGCCCCACCTTCCAGCGGCCGTCGTCCACGGACACCGCCACCTCCCAGTACCAGCGCCCTCCCTCCAAGGCGGAGGAGGCTAGAACCTGTGGGAAGGAGCTGAAGCGAGCCTCGTGCTCGGTGTAAGCCTGCTGGGAGTCGCTGTAGACCACCCTCCTGTTGTTATCAGACAGCTGCAGCTTTGGATGAGCTGTGTCTGCGTCCAGGACGGGACAGGTGCCATCTGCAGCCAGAAAAGAACGTTATAAAAACACTATTCAGACATAAGGATGACGACTAACTGAACATGAGGGCTTTCAGGGTTTATCATTAACGTGAAGCGTCTTACAGAGGAGCCTGTAGAGGTCTCTGTCTTTGCCTGGCGCAGTGATGACAACAGCGTCCAAACGTTTTTCTGTCCACTTCTCCAGGCAGCTGAGTCGAGCGTGGTCCAGTTCTTCTGGACCCTCACACTGCTCCACACATTTCTCCACATCGCCGGTCCTGGTGAGGATGAGTCAAAAAACATTATTAAATTGGACAGAATTACCACCAGTAATGGGCAAAAACAGTACTGTACTATGGTAAAGAATTGGTCACGTTCTGCTTGGAAACACAGATAATACGCAGAAAACTATTTAAGTTTTCAGCTGAATGTTTGTTTTCAGATCTAAAGACTCCATTTTACCCCGAGCCTGTCTGTGGTTTAGGAGTCTAAACAAAAATGGCCACCGACTACATTACATGTGATGACAACTTCCTGTCTGCGTCACATCAGAAACAGGAGAAGCAAGCTATGAGACGGACATACCTGCCTTCAACACTCATCTACACCAGTGGAAGTGAAGTGTTTGTTTAGTTGTGAGGTTTTGTTGCTATGTGTGCAGAATCAGATATTCCTTTAGAAAAAAGGAAAAAGTTTTGCCCTGTTATATTTGTGAAAGTGCTCTAACAGTAATTAAATTTAGAATTTTGTGGCTATTCATGTGTTCATGTATTTTTCAGTCCCTTAATTGTTAAAGAAACAGTAATATAACATTATGTTAACACCATGTGACAGTTTACAACCAATCACAGATCGACGAATGTACTGCCCAGCCAATCACAGAGCTCTCAGCTCAAAGAGTTTCTTATCAAACAAGAGAGGTCAATCCCTCGCTGGAGTCCTGTTGTCTGGGCCAAAACAGATTAGCAGCCGAAAACTGGTTATGAGAAGATATGGTAACCGGACAGTGTCAAGGTAGAACAGATATACATAATTAATCCATAACACACACTTTTTAGGTTAATAAATATGGTTGAAATGAAAATTTGGAATTTAGAAAAAAATTAGAAAACAGCAGAATTTAGAAAAATAAAACTGAAAAAAGTGGAATTAGGGAAAAATAAATGGTTTTTGGGAACGAATACAACAGATTTTACTGTATAGGGTCTTAGTATTTGTCCGATGTTGAATATTGGCTTGAGCAGGGTGTGACTAGGGAGGCTGTCTTCCAATCAGAGGGTCAGGAGTTCAATTCTCTGCTCCGTGCCAAGTTGGCCTTGAGCAACAGACTGAAAACATTGCTGTCTCTGATAAGCTTATCAGTGTACTACTGTACAAGTGAAATATAGTAGTGGTCTACTTAGAGAGTAATGTTAATAACAGAAAGCACAGTATGAGTACAAGTGGATTAGAAACATTGTAAAACGATTTGCAGAACCTGGGGATGTTGAAAAGGTGCTATATACAGTTGTGGTCAAAAGTTTACATACACTTGTAAAAAAACATAATGTTATGGCTGTCTTGAGTTTTCAATAAGTTCTACAACTCTTATTTTTCTGTGATAGAGTGATCAGAACACATACATGTTTGTCACAAAAAACAGTCATAAAATTTGGTTCTTTCATAAATTTATTATGGGTC